AACATTGAACAAAAACCAAAAGATGCGCGAATACTTCGTGTTGTTTTTTATTTTTATTTTTTTTATTTACAAGTGGGTTACTCCCCTTAATTATTAGTCCACGGTTTGCTCTGATGAACGTTAATATTACAATTATAAACTATGTCAATCACCTCTTTACCCAGTTGACCGCACCATTGATCTCCATCTCGTTTTGGTTCATTGCAGGTTCCGCGCCTGCTTCTATTTAGGCTGGATGCAAGAGCCGATGCTTATTATTATTAGATGATTGATTTAACAAATGCTGCAGAGACGGATATTGCGACTAAATTTAGTATAGACAGGAGAGAAACTGTATTTACCAGAATTCACTCTTACAAATTTCAGTAAGGTTTCATCTTGAAGGACATCTGAGATGTGTGCATTTATAGATTGAATCGATCCTTAGACACCAAACATGAGTGACTGATTATTTACAAAACTTTGGCACTGTATTGGAAATGCAAAACAATGCAAAATATAGGTGGGGCCTCGGTGCCGCAACGGTTTAGTCGTTGACACGGCGCTCATCACTGTAAGGTAAAGGTTCCGGGTTCGAATCCTCGAATCCAGCGGCCCTGCATTCGAACCCGACATACTTACAAATGGGCCTTTTTTTTCAAAAACACCGGCACCCTGAGGGTTTATATGACCTCTGCCATTGAGAACCCTCGTTAAAAAAAAATTTAATATATATATATATATATGCCTTTGGACCAAACGGCGTCCAACATGTAGAAAAAACACATTTTAAAATCCGCAGATTTCAAGAGTAATCAATAAATTCTTTAATTATTTCTTTGTATGGGTTATTTTGAAGAGTACATATTTGTTATATTTACCCTATTTGTGCTAGCCTGTTAAAAATTGGAGGGATTAAGAGGTTAGGTTACTAACCCTCCCCCATAAGCTAACCAAACCAGTCCCTAACCCTCACCATAACCTACTGTCCCTAACCATGACCTAACACATCCGAACGCCTTACCCTAACCAAATCTAACCATAACCTAACACGCCCTTAACACTAACCATAATATACCCTAACATAACCAAACCTCACCTAAGACGCGAGAATGCGTTTAGCCCAAAAACTTATTCATTCAGCTTTAACATATTGGTAATTCAGCTTTGACTGTGAGAATATTTCAAAATTTTTATTGCACATATAAACCGATTTTTCAACGTAGAATGAGGAAATAGTATGCCAGATCGTATTAAATGTGATTATTGATTACATATATCAAAAATTACATCAAGCGAAAGTCACATTCAGTAAAGTAGGCGAGAAAAAATATTACGGTTTGAAACAGCTGTCTAGTTTACTGAGGATCAGTGGAGTTTTTTTCATAGTTGTCAGTATTTTTGTGACTTTCGAATAAAAATTGAAAGCTTTTGAAAAATGAAAGAATTGTGAAATGCGGAAAAAACTGAATTTAGGGTTTTTAGAGTGCCACAAATGACTATCAACTTAGTTTTGTGCTAAACAAATATTTTAACCTACGTCACTGGCACTCACAACACGACACGCAAGAATGACACATCTACACAGAAATAAGAACACTTTGAGCCATGAAGATGATCTCAAAAAAGTTCGAAACGTTGGCACGATAAAGAAAATGTTTTTCTATAACCTACGTCACACCAGACCGCATCTCACGATCTCCAAATAATTAGTTTAACCTACTTGTTCAGAAATTATGAACATTTCAATAGGAAGAAAATTTGATATAATTCCACGTTTTGTATCTGGTAGCATCCTCCTATTTGGCTGTAGGAATACTTATCCTTAAACAACTTAAATCAAAGTTTATCACAAACAAAGTAAGTAACATAGAATGCCGATATATTTTCATTCTGAAGTGGTAGTTGTCGTTAAAACAGGAAAACAGCGAAAAGTTACAATTTATAAGTTCCATGTAGGTTTTTCTGTATTAGAATAACACAGTTAAACGTGCAGCTTCTCAGAAAAAAACATGATATCCTTTTTACCGGAGGCCTCGATTTGGGCGAGCCTTAAGCACACTAAAGTTACACAAGGAAAGAACGATCGGATCGATGTGGCATGGGCCCAAATACTTCAATAAGCTTTTATCTGATTGATGAACATATTTTCTACACTCGATACAAGGGAAAAAAAATTTTCTCGATAAAATAAAGAAGAAGGCAAAGAGGGTTGATGTTTATCAAATAACCCTGAAGAGCATGTTAAGTACAGGATATTAGATTTTTTAACTACCTAATTACTAAGCCATTAATACAATTATTTTCCTTTTCTATGTTTGAACTCAATACTGCATAACGTGAAAAAATGTATAACTTAAAATACTACTTTAAAAACAATATAAAACTGCTGATCTGTTGAGAATTCTTAGCCAATGATGAATTGTGTATCATACCACCGACTTACGTACTTTGTCTAATAAAGGAAAGAAGAACATGACCAACAGGTTTTGAAGACGAAAAACGTAAAATTTATTCTGAAGAGTAAGATTAAATACACATCGCAATGTCAGATTTTAGTACAATATAATAACTACGGCATTAAATAAAATGGTTTATTTTGATAACGAAGTAGGAATCTTCTCTAGAGAAGATTTCTACAAGTTGTTTATCAGATTGATGAACATATTGTCTACACGCGATATAGCGATAATATATTTTTTCTCGATAAAATAAAGAAGAAGGCAAGATGGGTTGATGTTTACGAAATAACCAATACTTAACCCTGAAGAACAGGTTATGTACAACACAACATATTTTTGACCTATCTAATTACTTAGCCATTAGTACATTCATTTTCCTTTTCCATGATTGAACCCATAAAATGTGAAACATTATATATCGCTACTTAAAAAACTACTTTAAAAACGATATAAAACTGCTGATTTTATGAGAGAATTTAACCTAACCAAGACGAGAAAGCTAAATTTAATCCTGAAGAATGGGATTGAGGACACAGCTCACAAAGCTAACTACTAAGACATTAAAAATTATTTATTTTGACAAACAAGTAGATTATGAGATTTCTCCAATTGGTTTGTGGGGTGATGAACCTAAAATTCGGGCCTTTCCTCGCTGGGTTGGTCTGTACAGGACGCATCTTCAGTGCGTCTGGGCGTTAATTACCTAATCTAGTCGGTTTTATAGTTTGAAATGGTTTTAATAAAGGATAAAAAGTTTTTTGTGAGTTGTGCCGTGATAAGCAGGTCATGGAACAAGCAGCGAGAATAAGGCCAGAATGATATGAAACAACCAAACTACATAAGTCCGCAGATAAGTTCACGGTTCAATGGAATCGTATTTCAGACAGAGGCATGCAAAATAGTTTATTAATGAACCTTCCCAGAAACCACACTTGAACTGTTAAACCTACGATATCATAAGGACTAGAATGATGGAAGCACAAGCTATGGGAGCAGATATATAACTATAGCTTAATGATGAGCTCTAGATAATATGGAGATTGCTCCATAGACCAATATTGGTCGCGATGAGTAAGGTCGTAAAGAGGTCAATTCCTTTTAAGTTTAACAACAGCTAGTGAAAATCTCTCCATCGTGTATAAAATAAGAGCGTTATGTACTTATTGCGAAGTATAAAGAAGCAACGTGGAAGTTAGAGAATCGCGCTTTTAAGTACGCCAAAAGCTTATAAGACAGTTTCTACCCACGTCCTACAAAGCAAAATAGTGGTCCGCTATTTACTCCTGTCAATTTGAGGTCTGATGGATAAACAAGGAGCCCATTGGATAAAACGACTTAACCTTAACGCTCTAGATGATAATGATGATTCCAAAATAGACCAATTTATGTACCGATAGCGAAGTAAGGAGAAGCAGCACGGGCAACAAAATCTCAAAGCAGAACTACCTTTAAATAACAATGGCTCTTAACAACATAGTTTAAAAGTCAGCTTTTACCAACCCCCTCTGAGTCGGCCTTATCCTTCAAGCAAGATTTAAAGCTAGAATAGCGATTTTTGAGATATTTGACAACACTAATCTTCAACCACCATCAATGGATGAACACATCGCGATGGTGTAGGTGAAGTAGTTTCCCGATGACACGTTATCGAAGAAAATGATGGCTGGCATGTGGAAGATGGAGGGAATAAAAAGGAAGGTCGAGAATGAGGTGGTTAGATGACGTGATGGCTTGAATGGAATATCTATACTGAATGAAGCGGCACGACTGTACTAACCCTAGAAGTATATAAAATAAACTGGTTGAGGAATGAACAAAACAGCTAATACAATGCAAAATTTAGATTGACAAATAATGGAAATACAGCGGAAAAGAAAGGCTGACATGAGTTCCTGCTCAACATAGAAAAAAGAGCAAATACTTCATGGATGGAACTGGAGTTTTGGATTACCCTCTGGGTTGTGCCTCCACCGGTTTAAAAGGTGCAAAAAACTCCATTGTGGGTTGCCTGTATCAATGACGACGTCAAACACAGTCTCATAACTGGAAACGGTTAAAGAATACGAGAGAGCCATTTAAGCGAATTTTTCACCAATTTTGACTCCCACCCTTCAAGCCGATAAAAACCAAAACAATGATATAAAATTAGGCAATAGATTGTAAGTATTCCGGGCTGATCACTTCATTGCTACACAAAATCCTATTAACTGTATTTAATTTATTAAAGTAGTAATAATTTTATAGAAAAGAGATAATCATCAAAGGGGAGACCCACTAAGATAGGTAGAATTTTAAAATTCTCGAATAAAAATATTCCCAGCCTTCCTTGTCTTTCCTCTGACGAGACTAGACCAAAGAATGACTTTAAGCCGAGCTTTTAATATTCCAAAAGAAAAATGTCAATACGCCTGACAGACTAAATAGCGAGCAAAGGCGCAACAAAATGAACGAGAACGATCAAAATACAGACCCAAAACCACAGAAATCTAAAAAATAAGTCTCAATCTTTCCAAATGTTTAACAAGTTTAATTATTTTCATAATTTTTTTTTTGTTTCAGAAATGTTCTCAAGCGTTTTTTATCTGCTTGTACTAGCAGTTACCCGCAGCTCAATTGTCGAAGCAACTGGTTATATCGGTAAGTAATTTATGTGTTATAAATTGCTTTTTTACTTATTAAAGAAGTACAAATGAAATGATGATAATGGAAGAACTTTTAGACTCTGTTTATGAGTTGATTTGGCGTTGAAAAGAGAAGAGTTGGCCAATCTGATTAGTTCTTTGTCCAAATAACTCGTTCAGATAAAAACGACATCCTCACGTGACTTGAGCTTACCCAAAGCCGATATCACTCATTAGAAAGAAGCCAGGTTTAACTGTCATCTAAATCTAGGGAGTAAATGAGATTTACATAACATTAAAAAAAATAATGGGTGGTGTTTGTACAGGTTTGTTCAGTACAGAATCTTCATTTTTCCTCTTATTTTTGTCTATAGGCTTCCTAGTGTAATGTCTCTCGATGGAGGTTCAACCATCACACAACTTTTGCTTTGAAAACGGCTACACGAAATATTTCTGTTGAAGAACATCCGAACCATTATCACAGATTATTCAGCCAGGATGTCTTCTTCCTGTTGAGCGTCGCGAATTGATAATTGATCTTAATCTTTAATAAATTAATAATTGGACAGATATTGCATTAATCAATTCTCTGGCCATTAAACCTGGGACTAATTCTCTGGCCATTAAACCTTAAGATCATTTTTATTCAAAAATTCAAACAACGTCTTAAATACCATTTCATTTTCAGAACTTATAAGGCTATTAAAATTGAAGGGCTTCTCTACCTCTTTGTAACTAAAGATTTGTTCAAACATGACATTTCTCGCTTCTTCATACTCCGGACAGTCAAACACAATATGTTGCATTGTCTCGGGTTCATCGCATGATTCACAATTTGGAGAGGGTCTTATGCGAATTCTGTTCAGATAAGCACCACATATGCAGTGATTCGCCCTGATTCTGATAATCGAAGAAAAAAACGCCTTGCTTCCCCTCATTGCGAAAATCCATGAAATGGGACGGGGTTCAGGAATAAAAACCTTAAAAAAAGAACCTGCCTTATCCCTATTATACCACTTTTTCCATTCCTGTGACAATTTTTTAGTTAGTACTCTCTTTATATCAGATTTGGGTATTCTGACGTTCTGGATTTCTGGACCCGATGTAGCTTCCTTTGCCAACCTATCAACAATTTCGTTATGCACCACTCCACAGTGACCGCGACACCAACCAAATGTTACTTTACCTTAGTGATGAGCATTATTTTTAACTCATAATCCAGATTAGTTTTAATCACTGACCCTAGCGTTCCCTTTATTTCTTTGACTATGTGGGACACATCGAGCAACTTTTCTCTCCATCACGGACACCTGCGGGGAGATTGGCCCACCAGCAAGTGCCCATGTGTCAACCGTGTATGGCCTATTCTCCTAGATTATTCCGGTATTTAAAATGTGTATTGCTAATATCCAATTCAAGTTTTTTGTAAATACGAATAATTTTAAACCTATTTTTAAAGCATAGCACATCGAACCAATTGTACAAAAGTCTAAACAAATCCGAACATTTTCAGTTTTGGGTAGTGGTAGGTTTAAGCCATTTTTGCAAAATTCTGTTGTGTACATTTTATTGAGCAGTGCTAATTATTTTTGAAAAAGTTTTGACTGCAGAGGAGGGCGAGATAAATAAAACTTGTACATTGATCAAACTGGTCAGAAAAAAAAATCGGTGTGAAGATAGGACGATCAAATAATTAATACAATTTGTTCCTAGAGGTTGTAAAAGCTACACTAGAAAAAAAATTTGGCCTTTTTTGTAGTTTTTAAAATTTGGAATATATATATTCTTTAAATTGTATACATTATTATATTCACTGATGTAACCAGTTACAAGATTACTTTTATATACAAACATGAACATGTAAGAAAGCTTTGGTTCATCCCTTTAAATTAATGTATATTTTGTCGTACGGTATACGGTTTAAGAAGTGAGTTTATAGTTACATCCAGAGTAGCATTTATTAGTACCCCCCAAGAAGTTATACCAGGCTATTATAGATTGTGCAAGACAAAAATATATTGCCCTTATAAGTTCAGTTTTCATGAAGTTGCATAAAATTTTAAATTTACAAAAGAGTTTTCTCAGAATGAAAAACAAAGAATCAATATGTAATTTAAATCTCAAATTAGAGACCAATGTCACACAAAGATATCTAACATTTTAAGGAAAAGGGATAGGCAAGCAAGAACGCTCATCGTTATCATCACAACTATGAAAAACAAATTTAAAATTATTTCCGTTAAAGTTCCTGGTTCGATTGGCCAAATAACTTCTTTCAATTAATTAATCTTTATGTAAGGTATTGGTTGAGATAAAAAAAGTTAGTGTCACGCACGAGCGGGATTCGAACCCACAACCTTCGGCTGAATGGAACTCTAATAGATTTAATAAGTAAAATGTATCTTCACTTATAAATAAAAGTATCTTCACTAAAACTCTCCGTGGCCATTTCATTTGTCGCCGAGAATCGAATAGATTACACAACATCTGAAAAATGGCAAAAAGGAGGGAAAATTCGAAAGGTTGGGTTGAGATGGGAGGTTGGGGTCCGAGTGGATCGAAGTCACGATAGCTCAAATGGTAGAGCAGCAACGTATTTAGCCGAAGATCGTGGGTTCGAATCCCGCTAGTGACACTGACTTTTTTTATCTCAACCAATACCTTACATAAAGATTAATTAATTTAAAATTATTAGTAATTATTATCTTTTTTAATGAAAAGTGTAATACATTACATTTTTTGTGTTTAAAAGTGGAAAGTTCACCAAACATTAATAATTTTTAAATCATTATTATTGATTTTATTTAAATTAATTAAATCATATCATCGAAACTTCAGTTGGTACTATCATTTTTTATTTACGAACTAACGCCCTCGTGACACTGACTTTTTTTTCTCAACCAATACCTTACATAAAGATTAATTAATTTAAAATTATTAGTTTTTTTTTAATGAAAAGTGTAATACATAACATTTTTGTGTTTAAAAGCAGAAAGTTCACCAAACATTAATAATTTTCAAATCATTATTATTAATTTTACTTAAATTAATTAAATAAATTAATTAAATCATTTCGTCAAAACTACAGTTGGCACAATCATTTTCTGTAAAGAGATAACCTTGGCAATCCTCATGATTTTGTATTTGCTGGAATAACAGCATAAAAACAGTTTTACCAGAGCCAACATTTAGATCATCATTTATGAACTTAGACCCTCAATTGCCTCGCGGACAGCCGGTTGATGAATTTTCGAAAATGCGTAAATACGTTGTCCTGCAAAATAGCAACTATCAAACGATCATTAGATCGGCGTCGAGTTTTACTCGAGGTTTTTTTATGTTATAAAAACATCAAATTACAGATGGACAACTTTAGGAAGGTTTTGTTATTTTTCTAAATTACAAAGTTGAACGCCTGTCATCCGTCGCAAAGAATTTATATTGGATTTGCCACAGGTGGTGTTCCAGTGATAAAAAACCACTCGACCTCGATTCGTGGATTTGGTAGGTAGAGGGACTTGAGGGCCGACATTTCTGTGGACAAATGAGAACTCATTGTGACTGACCTTTCTTGCCCTGAGACAATGGGTTTTCTTCTTTGCATACCTTGCACGCACGACTCGCTGGTCGCGCTCACTTAATCTATCTAGCCCCGTTTTTTCTCCATTTGTTTGAAAAACCAACAAAATTGGGGTTTTAAAGTTCACCTTTTATATGAATCCATCTCAATTGGTTTTACTAAGTGGCAATTAATCAAATTAAATTTCTTTTATATTTTATAAATAAATACAAACATTTCTATGGTTTTCTTTTTTTAAATCACAATTTTTACCATATTCACTGCATCTCTACAAACTTTGGCTTTTTTAAAAATTAATTAAAAAACTTCTTAATTAAAATTAAAAATATACCAGATATTATAGAAAAGCCCTCTCCCAAAAGAAGGACTTACTTTTCTACCTCGATTACCATTCTTTCTGTTTTTTGAATACTAATAATAAATTCTGTTCCACGTTATGTCTTTTTATTTTCGTTAACTTTTCACTTGTTTCTTATTATTTTTCAATAATTTTATGGGCCCATTGTTGATTTCTTTGTTCTTGTTTGTCTCTACTCGGGGCGCTTTCACTGTTCCCACGTATTTCTTTGTTTTTAGGTTCCTGTTCAAGCTATTTTCACTGATTATATTTTCTTTCTGGTTCGTAAAGTTGGTTTTGGGATTTTTTCTTTCTTCTTTGAGTTAGTAATAAGGGGTTATTGTCGTCTTGGCGTTTTCTATTCTTTTTGCTGTACCTTGTAAGATTTTTTTAATTAGTAAGTAGAAATTGTTATTATTGTTTTATTTGTCTCCACCTGACTCCACCCATTACTGAATTATCAAGATTTGTTTTCAATGTATAATTTTTTTCAATGAAAATCTTAATAAAAATTATTAAATATTTAATGCATACTAATTAATTATAATACGTCGCCTTCGAGCACGTCTTTGTAAACTTCATCCAAGGTATCGCCGTCCAAGGTAGCTTGCTCAGCCTCATCGGCAAGGACCTGTGGTCTACACCGTCCGAGGTCTCGCAGACCAAGGTTCGCAAACCGAGACTATACCTGGCTGGGCGTGTTCCGGATACCAGAGTCGGGAATCCATCAGAGGTAGAGTGGTGGAGACATATTGAGCCAGCAGTAGTTGATGTTTCTGAGTGCATCAGTGCCGTTCTGCGTTCAGAGTTCTCAGTTCAGTAATATCAGTCACATGAGTCCGGAGGTTAAGTCCCGTCGAGGCGTAAGTCATCGAAGTAGGGCCTTTAGCCATCAAGTGCCATCATCATCTACGACCCATCGCGACAACGTTCCCCCCGCGGATGAAGAATGTACTTTGAGCTTACTGACTGACTGAAGCATTTATTTAATTACATTCTTTTTCTCGTAAAAGAGGGCTTCAGCTCTTTGAAAGAGACTCAGTGGAAGGTTGTGGACACCTTGTTGATTAATTTTGGGGCAGAGGGTACTTTTTGGATC